ACAGAACAGGAAGAAGCAGGCTAGCAAATGTCTAGTCCAGAATGATCCAAGAGCAGCTGCCTGTGGTGTTAGGGCCCATCACTAGGACCAAACCTACCAGTAGACTCTCTACATAAAAGAATCATAATGCAAATCATAAAATACATAAAATTTATCTCTTTGTTACCATATTACATGAAATGGTTGTCTAAGATTATAGTAAACCTTGGGAGATATTTTTAGGACAGCCTGATTTAAAATAGAGAACATGTTACATATATTATGTTTACATAAATTAGAATGTCTACCTTGGACAGGGGAAACAAATAGTGGTTTCAATTGTGAGCCCCAAAAGAAAAGTCACAAGGTACGTGGTTGTAGGAATTCATTTTGGATCACTCAGATTCTCACATGCAGGTGTCTGAACAGCATGATCCAAAATGAGTAAAAGCAAAGGTTTATTAAACAACAGTAACAGCAATAACAGGAACAATACTGATGTCTGTTACCATTGATTAAACGCCTCCTGTAGTCCAGGCTCTATTCTAGGGACTCTGCATGTATTAATTCACGTATAATATATAGGCCTTGTGGTTCTCATTTTAGAAAGACAACACTGAGGTTCAGAGGGGTTAACTTACTGACACTTATTCAATATACCTAAAGAGGGGTGTATTTAAATACACTCTTGAAGAAGTGCAAAAAATGTTTGAATCAGACTCAGAGTTTCTGAGATTTCCTGTGTAAAGGGTGCTTAGTGAATCTTACAGTGTCCCCACCTGGGGCTGACATTTAGAAGGAGCCTTACTATGGCAATCTTTGTGGAGCCTTACTATGGGAATCTTTGTCCCCTTCTTTTCAGCTTCCTTCTTCCTGGCTCCAACATCAGCCCTCTGGATGTATTCTCACGCCAGAGAGAAGTGCATAAGGTACTGGTGTGATGGAATCGTTAACTCCTATATGACACTTTGTTCCTGATGTGTTTTCTGCAGAACCCCTGCGTCGCCATGGTGCACCCCTGTGGCCTACTCACCCGCCAAGAGGAGCCAGGTAAGCCTGATTCACGACTCTTATTTGCCTCTGTATCTTTGTTACCTAGTGCAATGCCTGGCCCGCAGGAGGCACTGTATTACAGCTTCTGAGCCATTGAACTCTGGTCTATCCCCAGTGCCACTGAAGAGCATCGCTGTGACCTTGTCCATTTGTGAGTTTGTGGCTGGTGTGTCTGCAACTTTAAACTATGAGAATGAGGAGCAAGCCCCTTTGGAGGCCTTCTTTGTGTTCCCCGTGGACGAAGACTCCGCCGTGTGCAGCTTTGAGGCCGTAGTGGACGGGAAGAGAATCGTGGCAGAATTACAGGACAAGACGAAGGTACTGGGGACGAGAGCATTACCTCCACCTTCCTCATCCTCCTTTCTGGCTTCCTCAATGCATACTCTGTAGGATCTCTATCCCACAA